ACACCAACTCAGGGCAGAAGGAGCAGGAGAGAGAGCCAAGAAAGTGTTGGCGTAGCAGACTGGTGAGCTGCCGGGTCTGGGGGCTGCTGTCAGGGAAGAATTCTGAAGGCACAAAGGCTTTGCAGCCTAAGTGACTAAGTAGCAAACGCCCCGTAAGGACGGATCTGACAAACAATCAATTCTTCCTTTTCTTCCTCAGAGAGTCAAAGAAACACTAACGGTAACTGTTAATCACCATAGCTACCTTTAGATGAGTTCTATGAATCAGAATGTGCTGGTTTTTACACGCATTGTCTGCTCTCATCCTGAAAAAATTCCATGAGATATTATTTTCTGCACTTGATAAAGTTTAGACTGTTTATAATATAAAGCCCCAAATAACAGTGATTAAGACGCAGAAATAATATTCTTTCCTGTAAGGGAAGTTCAGGGACAGACAGCCTGTGGCTGGTATGGAGTCTTCTTAGCATAATCAGGAACTCAGAACAACTCCTCCTCCTTGTTCCTCAACCTCACCATTTTTAAAAATCTTATTACCTCACTGTCCAAAATGGCTGCTGGAGATCCAGCAGTGACATCCAAATTATTGTATCTCAATGCTAACATTCCAAATGACATCCAATAATGACACTCAGTGAGCAGTAGAATGGAGAAAAACCAAGGGCTCATTTCCCAGTAAACTTAGGTCTTGGTTAGAGGAGCCTCCCTGGATGCTGCATGCAATATTTTTTCTTTCATTTCTGGCCAGAAATTCTTCATATTGGTCACATCTGCCTTCAAGGGAATGAGATACTAATTCTGCATATTTCTGTTCCAAGGAAAGTCAGGACCTGTTTCTAAAGATGAAAGGAGGCTGCATAGCATATAAGGTAGCACATAGCAGTTTCCCCCACATCTCTGTTACACACGAGGCTTGGAAGGGGCAACAGGTCACGTGCTGATTATTAAGAGAGCTATTTGGAGACTCTCTGTGAATTAAAGTGTTCTAAGCTTTTAATATATCTTATCTGATTTCATTCTCACAAATATTCCATGTTATTATCTTCTTCATCTGATAAGTAACATTGTCTGACTCCAGGGAAAGAGTGAGAGTGAGAAAGAGAACAAGAGAAAAACAGGGTGAATAAAAGTTTACGATCGCCTTTGACTTGGACCAAGGGGTAAGAGAGGAATGCATGGCGACAGAGGAGTCAATAGCCCAAAACTATTCCTGACACCTAATAGGTTCTCAGTACAAAGGCAGTAAGTGAAAAATACAGTCCTGCAAGTGCATGAGCAGTGCTTTAAGCCTCAGCAGAATTCCCTGAACTAGGTGAGCTGAGAGCCAGCCATATTTTCTCCTACTCAAGTTGAACAATTCCTATAGGCTGATGGAATCCCAGACTCTGTGTGACTTAGACAGGGTCTGCTATAGCCCTTTAATTTGGAGGCAAAGAAGTAGGATTTTCTTTCACTGAAATAGCTCAAGAAATAGCTGATTTTACATACCGTGTTGCTGTGGACTCTGGGGAGGGTGGAGATACTGGGGAGGAGAAGGGCCAGTGTATGTTACTCTGCTCAGGGTTCTGTAATAGCCCAGAGATTGAGTGGTTCAAACAACAGAAATTTATTTCCTGAAGCTGGAAGTCCAAACTGAAGGTATCCTGCAAGTAGGATAGGCCCTTGGTGAGACTTCTCTCCTGGACTGCAGACAGCCTCCTCCCGATCCACTCCTGCACAGCCATTCTCATCTACATGCATCCCTGGTGCGTCTCATCATATAAGAACGCCAGTCATAGTGGGCTCTATCCTTACAACTTCACTTATCCTAAGTAGCTCTTTAGGCTCTCTTTCCAAAGAGTCCCATTGAGGGTCAATGAATTTTTAGAGGACACAATTCAGTTCATAGCAGGGAAGAAAATTCAAGACAAGCCAAAGTATCAGATCTTATAACCCCAAAGGAGTTTGAAAGTAAGATATCCGTAGTCTCCAATCCCCCCAATCGTTTGCACATCCTTCCCCCAAATTCACCAGCACCTCTGATGCTTCTTTACAGAGGGTCTGGAATTCTTGGTGGTAGCATTGGAACATTAAAGGGGCAAAGTATGGTGGGATTCTTGGAAACACTGACCCGACTGGGAGATGCGTGGTAGCCTGCAGTGGACCCCGTGGAGTGATGTTTTGTCTTAGATTTCCCATGTACTTTTGACCCACAGCATCAGGGCTCCCTTGGTCTCCAGTCAGTCCTTAGACAGTAGGTGTCCTTCCATTTTTTTGCAGGATGGGAAGAGACACAGAGAACATAGGTGAAAAACACTTGGTCGTCTGATAGATCTTGCTTGAATTTCATGTTCACCACTTACTTGAAGTCAGCCAAATATCCATGCTTAAAACTAACCACTAAGAAATTGGACATGTGCATTCCATTGTACTGATGTGTTTTTCTCACCTAACTCTTCTCTGTCTTTACAAGAGAATCTACTGGATATTTTGGATGGAGAGACCAAATCCTGGAGGCTGAATAGTGGTCCCAGACACAGCCCATCTAACAACGTGATAGTGCGGGAAAGCTTACTTTTTGCCTCTGTGCCCTCTGTATTCAATCAGCCCATGTTGAGTAACTTTATATTTCTTTAGAGGATAATTTTGTACGGTTTTGACTACAGGGTTGAAACTGTATATTTTGAATCTGTACAATTTTATTTCAATGGGCAGATCTTGTTATAAAGCACTTCCTCTAATTCCTCTAATCCTTAATTATCTCTAAGACTGCAATTAACATTCAACTTACTGCAGTTCTCCATTGTTTCTGCACCAAACTACAGGAATGAGGCTGCGTGGCCTGCATTTCTTCCTTAGAGAAGTTAATAGAAATTCAGACGTGGAGCTGGTTGGAGCTACCAACCGTGATGTCTACGGCGCTGTGTTCAAGGTGAGTTTTTGTGGGGAGATACTGCTGATGGGGAAATGGATGGCAGCTTCACAGAGGTGGCATTCATTCTCCCATGCACACGCAGACCAGGCCTGTGTAAGTGGGTTGCAAGCCACTGGCAGTGCTGCTGCATAGACGGTACTCCAGGTCTTTGGGTTGGATAACATGCTCGCTCCACATGGATTTGGAAGAAAGAAAATGGAAAACATCTTTTGAATTCTTTTCCTCTCCCCACACTTCCTTTTTAAAAATCTCCTGTAGTCAACAGTACAATAAGAGCTTATGGGGAGTCCTGCAGCTCCAGAAATTGCATGGTGTTACTTTAAAGAGATTCTGCATGTCTCTGGGTTAAACACTTCGGATATGTTACTTATGTGCTTGCTCATAGTTTCTCCGTTTTCTGTTTCTTAGATGTGTGGAAGTAGCCATGTATTCTGCAAAACAGAGGGTGATGCATTCCTAAGATGCTTGACTGGGCTTTGTAGCAGATGCTGCCAAAGTCCTAGGCATATCCCTTTGGTACTTCCTTAATACCAGAAAGGCTTCTTGTCAGTTCCCAGCACACTTTCTTGTTGACTTTGTCTGGTCACCAGAGTGCACTCTGTCTGCAATTGCAACTGATTGGACATGTGGGGACGTGAGCAGACAGGGGCCCCAGCCTCTCCAGTGTAACTCTGAGCCACATGTTGTACAGTGGGTCGATTTCCCAGCAGGATTAAGGCCCTGTTGTTACAGTGGTAACTTGTACTTTACCTTACCCCACCTCCTCCCTCCTGCTGATGCTTTTGGGCACCAATTTTCCAATTACTTGCTAGAAAACTCGGACCAACCAGCTTCCCATTACTGAGTACCAGATACCATTTGGGGCTGGGCATCCACAAAATATAGTGGTCATGACTATGGGCTCTCCATTGTAGTGGGAGCCTGACACCCCAGCACTCAAAACCCCAGAGTTATCATGGTACCTCTGTGACCCTGGACAAGTTACTTATCATGCTTGGTGCCTTACTCTCCTCATTTGTAAAATGAAGTAATAGTCCCAACTCACAGAATTGCTGTAAATATTAAACTAAACTTCCCATGAGAAGCACTTGCAATGATGCCTGGAACATAGTGCTAACGTCATAATAATTACCATTATTACCTCACTCAGTACCACTGCCCTTCTCAGAGTGCTCCCGGTCGGCAGTCTCCATATTGTTCTTAGCTTGCTGTGTATTCTGCACAACAGAGGCTGATGCGTTCCTAAGATTTGTGTCTCAGCTTTGTAGCAGATACTGTCGAAGTCCTACCCATGTCCTCCCTCTGGGTGCCTCCTCTGTGAATCTACACCCATTTTCCTTCCCTGCCAGCCTCATAGGCAGGTCTGGTAAAGGCTGGCCTCTCCATACCTCGCCACAGCCTTTGCTGCTCCCTGAGCTCTTTCTTGGATGGCAGTAGTAACCTCCTAACTGATGGTTTTACTCTGTGAGTGTCCTCTGATCCCTCTTCATACGGCAGTCCAGTTCATCACCTTGTACCCATTCCCTAGCCAAATTTGCTCAAAGAATTCTCATTTTCTGCAGGAGAAATTTCAAACTCCTCCCTTGACCTAATAAGCTCTTTAATGTCTTTCCTGATTTGACCTCCATCAGTCCGCCCAACCTCACCTGTTCTTTCTCTACTTTGCACAAAGCATTTTTAATGTGACCAACATTAGATTTCTAGCTTCTTACACACACTGCAAGGTGTGACATAATCAGGCCTTTGCTTGTGCTAGTTGTGCTGTCTGCAATGCCGTCTCTCTTCATCTGAGTTGGCCCATTGATTTTTGAACTCAGTTTAGATGTCTCTTTTCCCAACAAGCCTTCCCTGGATGACCAGATTGAGTCTAGTGTTCCTCCCTCTGTGACCTGAGTGTCTTATACATCCTGAAATCACCACTCGTCCATAAAAATATTTCCTACTTTCCTCTAGGTAGATGATAAACTCTCATAAGAAATCTAACTCGTCTTCACATCTCCAGAATCCAGCACAGTTCCTGGCACATAACCTGTGTTAACATATCTTTATTAAAGAAAGCCAACACGCAAGGAGACAGAAAGGCTTGCAGAGAAGGCAGCATACAGACAAAGCTTGAAAGTGGCTGCTAAAATGGGCCTGGACCAAATCTCTGTCCAGCGCTGTGAGCTCAAACATACACATTCTCTCTTCCAGTGCTCGGCTGCCCGCCTCACATCCCTGGCTTCATTCCAATTGGTTCAAAGCAGTTTCTGGCTCACATTGTGTTTCACTGTTCTCTATGCCACAGAGATATTTACTGTCACCTTGTTGTCAGGCCCAGGAATCTCTGCATGACTCCCAGAGGTCAGGGCCAGCTCCAGGGCTCACAGCAGACAAACAGACTGTGAGCTGGGGCTTGCAGGACAGCATTTGGATGGAAACACGAGAAACCCAAATCCAGGCCATCTTTCTGCCTGCTGAGCACACTGTTTATTGTTCTAGCCTCACTGTGTAGAAACGTCAGGCCCTGGCAGACTTTCCTCTCCTCTGGCGGTATCGTCAGGCTCAGAAATCCATTGTGGCCACGCAAGATGGTTTGGAAGAATCTCCCTTCTTTTGCAATTTTGAGACCTCATAAGCTATTAGTTGATTTCAAAACATTTTTTCTCCCCAAGAGTTACAGGGAGGGCAAGTTCAGGGTCAGCTTGGAGAGCTGCCATGGCAGAACAGTGCCATGTGTACCCTCGGGGTCTGCAGTGTCCTGGCTGCTCAGTCCACTGCGGAACAGGTGTCATCACTGCCAGGTGTGGCACAGCCTTCAGACCTAGACTTTCCCACAATTTGCCTTACCTGATTGCTGGCTCCAGTTCACACCTCAGAGGTATTTCTCATTTTTCCCCCCAGAAAAGTCCATTGAGAGTGCCTGTGGGTTAGGCAACAGAGACGTAAGCAAACTCTGGTCCTTCCCTTCAGGAATCATAGTCTATTTGGAAAGAGAAAAAGTAATTGCAAATAGATAGTGTCCTATACTAGAGCCAATACAAGAGGGGAGAGAATAAGTGATTCTGCTTTGCTGGGGGTAGGTGACCTTGAACAAATTGAACAAATTTCGAAGCCGGAGCAGTAATTCACCAGATGACCAATTGGATCCTTTGTGTTTCAAGCATCCGGCTCATCATTACCAGTCACTAGCCAACAGCTATGCACTCCAGTGATGGTCTGCCACACTCAAGAGGCAGAAGCTTCCTAATTTGCCTTCATCTGCAACTCACAGCATACACAGCTACCAAAGTTACTTTATTCCCTTGAATGCTGAAGCCTCACAGAAGATTTCAGCCTGGATCAGAGTTCCTGTTTGTCCTCGGCTTTGTACACTCTAGACCTGTCCCCAGTACGGACTGCGGTTCTAGCCGGGAGCTGCCAGGCCCAATAGTCTGAGATATAAAAGCTGTGCGCGCTCATCTTGACTTCCAAAGTCCAGAATGTCAGCAGGGCTGGAGATAAAGGAACTGTGCATCTTTACATCTTTTGCAGCCTGGCGGAGCTGCTCTTTGGGGGCCAAAATGCACGCGTGGAGGAACTGCAAGCTGTGGCTGCACAATCTCTGTCAGAAGGAGCTGAGAAACCAGCCAGGGCTATAATTAACAGGACCTGTAATTGGGCATAAATAAGAGCCTAGGCACTGACAACTATTGTTATTGAAATGTCATGTTTTTAATGCAAAAATACTGTTAGAATGTGGGGAAGCTGGGTGATATTAATGTATGCAAATATGCTTTAATTAAAGCTCAGCAACGACTAGCTTTAAGTAAAGGGCTTGATTTAAATACTTAAGCAAATATTATAATGGCTCTTATGACAGGCGACATAAATGGTAAGCGACACTGCAAACAACACTAGGAAAAATCAACTCCCAGACCTCCCTGTGTGTAAGATGTTGACTGAAGAAAACAAGAACAAGTCTCAGAGTATAAATAGTCCAAACTACTCTGTGGGACAACAGAGGTTTATAGGAATGTAGTCCTTGGGTATCAAGGTCTTCAGAGGGCAGGGAGAGAGCAACAGTCCCAGAAATGATCTGCTGACCAGCTGCTCCCTCTGTCAGACTTTCAGCGTCTGAGGGGGACAGTCCTGTTGGTTCATCTCACTGTTCCTGGCTACCAGCTCTGTGCTCTGCACATGTTGTGTTCTCAATATATATTTGTTAAGGAGAACTCTGTATTTTTATCTCAGAACAATATGCACTGAGGAAATCTGACAACCACTGATGGATCTCAGGTCTATGCCCTGACACGTTGGCACACTGGCACGGCGTCTTAAATGCACTGTTATCCTGTGTGTCTCTGTCTCTGCTCTGGCCTGAATCCAGCAGTCTACCTTCTCCACAGAGATTGAATCAATGTCGTATCTTCTAGAGGGGAATGTGTGCTCATTAGTGGATGCCTTAATTACGGAAATCAGCAAGGGCAGAGCTTGAGGGGCCTGAGTCCTTGCTTTGACATTTAATATTCTGAAATTCAAATATGCTTGTGGGAAGTAAAATAGATTATTACATTATAACAAGCAAGAATCATTTCAGTGAGGGTAGAAAGAGCCTGAATAAATAAATGTTTAGAGTTGATGGAAGACTTGTAAGTAGGGCCTTAACCTATACAATTTACCGATTCATAATGCTAAAACGCTAAGTATTTAGTGATACTATATGATAAATATAAAGCGTAATTTTATGTAATATTCCAAGTGGCATAAGAAAACTCATGCTTTAAAGAAAGACATATCTTTACTTTTTTGTGATCATGCCTTCTCATTGGCATTTTCCTCAACAGCAAAAACTAGGGCTAAATTAATAAAGAGCTTGTATTATAAACAAACTCAGTAACTTAATAAGCATTAATAGACGGTAGAAATTGTTTATGAAGCACTTAAAAGGCACTAGGTATGTAACTGGCAATATCTCATTTCATCTGCATAACAGCCATTCATGGTAGCTGTTATTATTTCTCTATGCTGTAAAAAAGCTATAGATCAGAAAGATAAAGTAACTTCCAGGTCTTCTAATTAGTACAGAGGAAAGGCAGATTTTAAAAGAAAATTGAGTTTGACAATCCTTGACTTATAGTTAATGTAATTATTGATATTGCTGGATTTAGAGTCACCATTTTACCATGTAGTTTTTGTTTGTTCCTTCTATTTTTGTTATCTCTTTAATTCTTTGAGGGAATTATTTGAAAATTTTTTGCATTCCACATTAATTTATCTACTCCTTTTTACTATTTTTTTGTATTTAGTGATTGCTCTAAAAATTACAAGATACATACTCTTTTACATTCTAAACTGTTTATAACTGTGTAAAATGCAGAAAACTCGAAAACATACAGATCTCTGTAGACTTATCTCAGATGTATACTCAGGCCCCTTTACACTCTAGTTATTGAATATATCAGTTACACATTGAAAACTCACTAAACAGTGTTATAATCTTGCTTTCAAGAGACACACATAGTTCAAAGCTTTCTGAGGAGAAACATGCATATATCTATCCAAATGTTTATCTTATCTTTTGCTCTTTCTTCTTTCCTGAGGATACAAGCTTTTCTGTCATCGTTTTCCTCCAAAACTTCCTTGGTGTCTCTTTTAGAGTAAATCTGGTTATGGATTTTGTTTTCCCTGTGTCTGATGATGTGTTTATTTCACCTTCACTTGCAAACAATATATTTTGCTGGGCACAGAATTCTGTATCAACAGTTCTTTTCTTTGAATGCTTTGAAAATATTGTCTCATTGCCTTCTGGTCTGCATGGTTTCTGATGAGAAATCCAGAATGTTCTAGATCTCTGCTCTCTTGTATATGGTATGCTGTTTCTCTGTCTTCAATATTTTCTCTTTAGTTTTAAATAGTTTGTGTGTCTAGGCATGGTTTTATTTCATCCTATCCTAATTCGGACTTTCCTAGCTTTATGAATCTGTGAATCTATGTTTTTCCATCAAATTTGGAGTTTTCAGTCATAATTTCTTGATATTTTCTCCTTTCCTTCTGGGACGTCAATGATCACTGCACCTAAAATCACAAACCCCTGGGATCCGTTCTTTTTGTTTGCTTAAATTTATCTCCTGTCCATCAGATTAGAAAATTTCTCTTGATCTATCTTTGAGATCTCTTTAGGCTACTCGGTAATTTTTAAAATTTTAGGTGATTTAAAATTTCCATTTGGAATTTGTTTGTTTCTACTTCTGCAGAGAACTTTTTTCTTTCCACTGTTTTCAAGTATGTTCACCTTCAGGTTATACAAGATAGTGATAGCTACCTTGAAGTTTTTGATAATTCCAACTTCTACATCATTTCTGAATTAGCTTCTGCTCATTGTCTTTTCCTTTAAACTTGGTCACATTTTCCTGCTGCTCTGCTTGTTAAGTGCTTCAGGCCAGCGCCAATGCCCTGTTGTGCATTTGATATTCTGTAAAAACCGTCCAGAGAATCCTGCTTCTTGCTGTGATTTTAGTCCGAATCAGTTAGAGTCAGAGTGCACATTTAGCTTTCCCCCTTTCAGGCAGTGGTGCCTGTCTCCGTGGATTCTCAGAGCCTCCACTGTGCTGCTTTGGGTCTGTCCCACGCGTGTGTGGCACAGAACTGTCCTTCCAACTCACTTGTGCTATTCACAGAATTCGAGATTTTCTTCTCCAACGGTGTCATCTCCCATATTTCTCTCATACTCTGCAGCTTGCAGGATTTCCTTTCCCCAGTTCCTCTGGCCAGAAAATGGTGCTTGTATCCCAGTTTCAACTGCAAGAGCCACTAACTAGCTAACTCCCCGCGTAGAGCTTGCCTAAAGAATATTCTGAGGGAAGCCTCGCGTCCTCATGGCTTGCTGCTCCAGGTGTTAAATGCGTTTTTCACACCATGCTGGCTTTTTTTACTTTGAGGCCTCCTGGACATTGCTTTTTCTATTTTGTCCAAAGCTTTTAGTACAATCAGTGGGTGAGATGAGATTTGCTGGGCTTCCTCTACCTTCCAATGTCCTCATTGTAAAGATTGGATTCGAATCCGGGCTTGTTTTACCATAATGCCTCTGTTTTTCACACATCACACTACCTCTGATTTTTAAATACATGCATACCAGATTGGCCAAAATGTTTTCAACAAAGCTCCATCAGCCTTCTTTGCACATGGTGTTTTGCATTCAGTAAAGGAAATGCAACCAGCAGAAGCCAGCAGTTAGTTATCTTTACCAGAGGAAAAAATGAATTTCAATAGGATCTGCTCACTTACTCACCAGTGGACTTCTCTATGGATGGCAGCTCCTCTTCACCTCCACCAATTCACTCCACGTGGAGCAAAAAATATTCTGAGAATACTTGACTTGTTTACGTATGGACAGAGGATGAGAGAACCTGAAAAGGGTAGGGGAGAAAGTGGAGAAATTGCAGAATGAATGCCAACAAAGGCTGCCTTTCCTGTCTCATTCTGTAAAAGGAGCACCAGAAATGCAAACAAATGAAGTAAATTCCCCTCCAGGGAAATGGATTTCATTATAGAACAATCCTGCCCCAAAATCTGAAAAATAATTAGTAGCAATGCACTGAGCTTCAAACACGCACGGAATTAGGAGCTGTGGGAGACAGATGAGTGAGCAAGAAATGAAGAGTCCTACATATTCATAGCTCATCGTCGCATTTTGTGTGTGAGTGTGTACTTGCTGTGCATTTGGTATCACTTGTTTTCCTCATCTACACAGAATAATTCCGAACTGCACATATTTTACTGTTTCAATTAGCAAAGATTACTATTTGTTTTTCTTTCTTTCTAAGTACTTTCACAATAATTATGCCTGTGATGCAAGAGTTTTGTGGGCTACTTTCTCATTTTCAGGCGCTCCTTGAACAAAATACAATAATAAGCCATAATAAAATCAAGTTGGTTCATTGGCGAAGACTGGCCTTTCTTAACAGACAGGCCATTAAAGGTAGATTGTGGTAGAGGATCAGCAAGCAACCATCATAAATGGATCATCAGGCAAATTAGCAAAGCATTTACTACTCAATGGTGGGAGACAGTCCTTTCCAATAACTTTCCCTAATGCCGCCATAATTGGGGAAATATCTGCTGCTGCACAGCTGTAGAGGTTGTTATATGAATGCAGGCTTTCTGTGAGGCTGGGAAGCCCTGATTAGGTGTGAGCATCTCAGGCAGCTGAGTACTCTTCCATACTCCTACGGCTGCTGGGGCTCTATTAGAGTTTGTAGAACAAGCTGGAAAGCTCTGTGGTTAAGAGCATCTCCTCCAGGCTTATATTTATAGAGTTTTCAGAAGCCTGCTTCTTATGGTTTGGATCTTAACTGTCCCCCCCAGGCTTATGTGTTGAAAGCTTGATCCCCACTGATACTACTGTTGGAAAGGAGTGGAAACTCCAGGAGGTGGAGCCTCGTTGGAAGAAGTAGGTAGCTTGGGGGCATTCTTTTGAAGGAGAGAATTTTATCCCGGGCCCCTCTCTGCCTCCCGTCTGCAGTGAGGTGAGTGGCTTTCCTCCATCACCCCTTTGCACCATGAGGTTCTACCCCATCTCAGGCCCGAAACCATGGAGCTGGCAGACTAGGGACTGAAACTTCTTAAATCTTGAGCCAAAATAAACCATTCTTCCTTCTCATTGTTTTCCTTGAATATTTTGTTACAGAGATGGAAAGTTGAAAAAAGTCACTCACGTGGTTTTTGAGATCTGGATAACATGAGGAATATTTCACACTACAGCTATGCTTTCAGGAGGGAGGTTCAGAAGCACAGTTTGTTTCTAACCTTGTTTCCCCCAAGTTACCTACTTCCTCCAACAAGGCTCCACATCCTGGAGGTTCTAACCCTGCACAGGTGAAGCCTATCTCTGAGACTCCTGAGCTTTGGTAATTCTATGCGTAGAGAACTACTATTACCTGAATATGACAATAATCATCACGTCCTTTTATATTTTATCAAGCACTTCCACAGGTATAATTCATCTGATCTTCACATTAACTTTGGGGGTAGAGTATTCTCATTTTATAGCCTAATACGCTGGAGCTCCCAGAGGAAAAAGCAACTTGCCTAAAATCAGACAGTGAGCTAAATGACAGTCTGAGATTTTAATGCTGCTTTTCCTATAACTGAAAACACACCTCCTAGCTGCATACCATCCACTGCTCAGCTTGTGCTGTAGACTGAAGACCTGTGCAGATCATGTCTTCTGCGCAGCATGTAAACTCCAGCCAGTCAGGGACTAACCCAAATGCTTCCCTCACCCCGCATCACACCCAGCACCTGCCATTCTGATGTTCGGGGATTCCTCGGGAATCTGGGTTAACTGAAGACGTGTATTTAGGATGGAAATTGGAGGATGTCAGCATTAAGAACAGGGCCTAGTACATGATAGGTGGTCTGAATCGGAGAGATGAAGGAGTAAATATACTAAAGAGCGGTCATGTGAGGGAAGCAAGGAAGTAAAAGACACAGAATGAGGTAGGAAGGGAAGTAACCGAAGCCAGCAGGAGTCAGTCTTGTGGAGGTCTGGGAAAGGAGTCAGTCCCGCCACGTGAACAGAAAGGATTTTTGGAAAAAGATTCAGACTAGGGGAAGGGTTTAAGTTTCAGGCTTTCTACAGGGCAAGCTTAGGAAAATTCAGCAATGCTTGATTCCTCCAGGGAAGAGGAGAATGTTGGGTACCCCTCTGTCCTGAAGTGGCCGCCTGGAACTCTCTGGGGTTTGGATCCAGATGTCTTGGGGGGTGATCTAACTCCCTCTCTGGTCATTTTCTCAATCTCTGCATCTTGCCATCTGAGTGCTCACCCTGTCTGTTAAAGCAGAGACAGATTTAAAATCAAAGCTTCTGAGAAATCTGGGCCATGGGGATTCCACTGGGAGGTGTCAGGAATTCAGGTCAGCATTTCCTGTTCCTGTGGTGAGAAGTCAAGGCACTTCCCTCAAGCAGCCCAGGCTCCTTCCTTAGTTTGCACAGGTGAAGCCTATCTCTCAGACATCCTGAGCTTTGGTAATTCTATTGAGACTAGATCATTCAGAGGCCAAGAAAGTCTTTCTACAGCTACCTAGAGTTCTCATTAAGAAGTACAAGAACTCTGTGGCACATAGCATGCAAATCATGAGCACTGACTGCCAATGTTAGCTAACTGAGGCTTCCTGAGCCACCGGGGACCGTGGCTTCACGTTTCAGGACCGTCCACGCAGTCTCAATCCTTATCCTTCGTTTCCTCAGTCGGTGTGACCCTCTACTTACTGCCTCATGCCTTTTCTCCAGCCTCCGCTTGCTGTCTTCCACTCCTGATCCCTTTCCAACCCTTCCCCTCCCACTGTTCACTCTGGAACATTCGTTCAGTTCAGTTTCCTGTATTTCTGGGCTCCTCAATCTGACCTCTGATCAGGTAGGGTTCACTACAGGAACAGATTTAATATGAAATATGTATGATATATAAAGGATTTACAAGACAGACTTACAGTGGCTGCCTGCAAAATCGGGCGTGGAGGAATCCAAAAGGGCCATCTATATGCTGCAGAACCAAGGATCAGTCAAAAGTCAGAGGCCTGGAGCTCACCACAGAGACTCTGTGAGTCTCAAGCAGGAAATAGGTGGGTCTGTGCTGGGAGCCTGGAGACTGATGTCCAAAGGTGATGGTGAAAATTGGAGCTCCACCAAAGCAGACCGGAGACTTCCTTCTTCTGTCCCCTTGTGTTCCATCCAGACTATTGGTTGGTGCCACTCTCAGCCAGGGTGCCTCTTTCCTCTTCTGTAAATCAGTCATCTAGACACGCCCAGAACTGTGCTAAACCACTCCCCCAGACGTTTATTTCTATCCAAGTTGACACCACAGTTAGCTATCATGGTCCTTAACCAGGCATGGCTTTTCCCTAAGGTTGCTATTCGGTCACTGCACGAATGCTGGAGGGGCTGTTGTCTCTTTCCTAAGCCCATCATTGCCAGGTTCAGACTTTCGCCTTAGCAAGAGCCTCCGTCCTGTATGGTGTGAATCATGGGACTAAATAACTTCTATTGCTCCCAATCATTTTCATTTATAGATTTAACTGTTAAACATCATATTTATTCTTATTTTCTGTGTTCTTGGTGCTCTGGCATTCAAGGCCTTGATCCTGAGGGCATTGTCTTTTAGGACTGAGATTGCTACAGGTAGACTTCTCTGTGAGTATAACTTTGATATGAGAACTGACCCCTCCAGAGCCCGTATCTCCATCCACCTTCTTTCTCAAACTCTCACACACCAAGCTGATATTTCTACACCATCTTCCAGCTGGGAACCAGACAAACAGGGGCTGGCATTATAGTCCAAAATCACTCAGGTTATCTAACAATCTTAGTGTACTGACCCTGCTGCATCTATTCCTTCCCTCTCTCATTTCTTCTCATGAAATTGTCAACAAACATTGTAGGCCATGCTCCACCCTCTCGTCCTTCTCTCCCCTGACCATCCTGGGACTTTCCCACATGGCCCTGCACGACATGCTATACCTCCTGATTCCACAGATCTAGGAATAGAAACCTCTCCTTTATGTGTTAATCAAAACATGAGAGAAGTAAATGCTTAAGGGATGAAAATGTTTACTACCCTGATACGATCAGTACATCTTGCATATACTGAATTGTGACCCAATACTTTATAAAAATATGCAATTAAAACAACAATTTAAAAATGTCTTCCTTCATGAGCAGCATTTCCATGGCTGCTCTCTTTCTGTCCTATTAAAACAAGTCCTGGGTACATTCTGGACACATGGACACTCCTATGGGCTCCGGTCTCTCCTGTCCCTCTTTTCTACTTTAACTCTCTGATCATCAGCAGAGTGTCCTACAAGGGGAGGGTAAATGGATACATGTGTGACTAGGTTTCAGCTCTGGCTGCGAGTGTATCTAGACCAGTCGCATCACATGTTTGAGACTGTTTCTTCATAGCGGAGTGGGATGATGACAAGACCCAGGCTGCAACGTCAACTAACACACACCGTTGAACAAATATATAAACACACAGAACCTGGAGCCGGGCATAGCAAGTGGCATTAGTTTCCTTTCTTTTGTTACTTGAGGACACTGAATGGAGGGTGAGTTCCTGGCGGGAATCCTATGAATCCAAGAATTTATTTTTTTGTCTCAGTTCCCAGCTATCGGTCACTGTGTTTCCTCTCATCCTGGAAATGATTAGAAAGAAGGCAAATGCTGATTTAGTAGGTCCAGAGCTCAACCTGAGTCCTCAGAAAGTTTTAAATTTTCATTGTTTTTCTTCTCTCAAAAGAAATGATGATGCAAGGAGGCCGTTAGCGTGTGATTTCCAGGATGGACCTGGGTCACCTGGGCCAGACCTTGGCGAGCCTGGTACTATAGGAAGTGTTTCTTAGTATCTCTTAAATGGTCAGGAAGAAGGAGAAATGAAATCCTCCCCAGTCCTTTCTTTCTTTGGAGCTGTACTATTTATTAGTCAGAGTATACAAGTTAAAATTCAGTTCTCTCCTCTTCTCGAGAGAGGTCTCCAACCTCAAGGGGGCTTGAGGAGAGGAGGAGGGTGACCCTCTCATCTCCTATGTGTGGTGTGGTGCAGGTCCAGGCCTTTAAGTATTTAAATATTGCCCAGGGTCTAGATGGAGAGCCAGCCCTGAGGCTATGACTGGGGTTAAAACTTACTCTGCTGGTCTCTCTACCTAGTACTGAGAATGTCTGAATTCACTGGCCACTGATCAGTTAGCAAATGGTGCTGGGTGCACAGCTCTGCCCAGAGTGTTGTTAGAGACAGAGAATAAAAGGAAGCATGAAACACTTGCCACTTCCTTCAGCAGTTTCTGGCCTCACTGGGAGACAGGCTTAGTACAGGTCTTGTGGTCTTGGGTATGAGTTAGATGTGAATTTTGAATGTTGTAATAGAAAATTTCTATTACACAGAAGTTAGGCAAATTATGCATTAAATAGCAATGCATTTCACATGCAGTCATACCAGAAGTAGAGGAGCAGGTGAAGGAATTTCAGAGAAAAACTTCAGGCAGGGGTTCAGAAGGAGAGGTCATCGCGGGGTGCACTAAAGATTGAGCGGGGGATCAGTCCCACTCATTGAGAATTTCTAATGGGCTCAACCCGACAGCAGTTCTTTAGACAGTTGCACTTTGTGAGATAGTCCCTGTTACCCTCACCTCACTTTGGAATGAGGAAATGGAGGCAGAGAAAACTGCTCAGGTTATGAGGCTCAGAAGGGAAAGGAGTAACTTGCCACAGAATGCACATTCATTACCCTGCACTGGGTCGCTATATCAGATTCCCAATCTTGTGTGCATATTTCACCAGAGTTTGTCCACAGTTCTAAACATTGATTTACTTGGTCTAAGGTGGAGGCGAGGTTTCATTAGGACAATGCAGCACTTTGTTTCAGATGCAAAGCCAGCATGGAGAATCTCTGCGTGTGATACAGTGAATGTCAGGTGGGTGGGAGAGTAGCAGGGGTCAGGTTAGTGGTACGTGAGGACAGGTGAGCGTCAGCGTGACGAGGAGAAAGAGGTAATGGCTACCGTAGGCTGGGCACTATATCTAGGCTATTTCATTTCATTTATCCCAAGAATTATTCCAATTTTACAAATGCAAACACTTAAGAGGTCATATAGCTTATCTTGTCTGGTGGCAGAATGAGGAATTAGACTCAGGTCTATTAAATAACAGACCATTTAGTACAGCACACATGATGATGAGTCATGAGAAGCACCACAGGTTCTGGCAAATTTGTTATGTAGTGAGCATAGTTTGTGTTATGCTGCAGTAACAAGTAACCCCAAATTATGAGAGCCTCAAACAACAAAGTGCTAGAGTTATTTCCAAAAGATGAAAAATATTAACAAAAGATGAGAAATATAAAATAAAAAGCGGCCTTTATTCTGAGAACACGGAGAGAGATGACCGGCACCCCCACTGCTGGCGTCTGGCGATCTCTCCGGCGGACACGTGGCGTGAGGACCTGTAAATAGCCTCGGTTTGGGGCGGAACCTAAGGCGGGCATTAGGGATACACAGGTAGCCCATTGGTCTTAGGTTTGGTGCCATATATAAATTTCCAGGAGCAGGAAGATGGCGTCACAGGTAACTTCCTAGGGGCAGGGGAGATGGGGCTTCCTGCTTCCGGTTGTGGCTTTCCTGGCTACAGTGTCCTATCTGGGCCAAAACCCTTTCACAAAGGTTAATTTTTTATTCTATGCTCATCACAGGTTCACAGGGCTGTTTGCTCATCCTGTTCACTCAGAGCTCCAGACACATCTCTCGTGCTAATAGTGCCAGAGACAGAACTCTGGAGGACCACACATCAGGAATGAGTATCACTTCTACTTTCAATCCATGGAACAGAAGCATATGTGTATTACACATCAGAAAGGGAGAAAAATATTAACAAACAGCCTGGACATCTATCACAGGGTGGTAAGAAGAAACTGTGATGTTAGACCACTAGCCTGGAAGGGGTTGGCAATGGGGGTAAAATGAGGGGACTGACTGGTGATCCCTGGTGCCCTGGGAGACTGGTGATGAGGTCTGCACTACGGTTTAGTAGTGAGAGTGGGTGGGAAGGGTCCTTCCCTCAGAGCTGATGTAGGATTTGCTGATGCTGGATTTGGGGAGGCCAGAGTGTCAACCATGACTCCTACGCAAACACAGTGGACTAAAATAATCAAGAGGCCCATTTTAAGACTTCGTCACTGTCCTTCCTATTTCTAACTCTTGTGTTTTAGCTTCTTGTGCCCTATGGTGCTTTTCTCTTAAACACAATTTTAGAAAGTATCTGTGCTTAGTAACACCATAGCAAAGCCTCCCCTTCTCAAAATTTATTAGCTAAAACCTATTAATAAAGTTTAAAGGGCTATTCTAGGGATGTTTCATTTAAAAACTTTCAAGTCTTTGAAGACTAAGTTAATAAATCTCTCATAAGACTTCAGGATAAAATGAAGAAACAGCTACTTAATGAGAACTGTGTTCCTATTACTGTTTCATGGACTGGCTGTAGCAATGAATAACAAAGTCCTTGCCCTCAGGGGGCTGATATTCTCCAGAGGAGGAAGACGGATCATATGCAAATATAAGACACTCCAACAACATCAAGTACAATGGAGAAAAATAAAGGAAAATAAGGGGATTGTGAGGTATTAGTGCATACAAGTGTGTGTATGGACGTGTGTGTGTGTGTGTGTGTGGTATAGGTGTGGGTAATCTTCCAAAGATACCTCCGTGTCCAGAAATATAAAATTCCTTTTAGAAATTCCCTTCAAAGCTCAATCTTTCCTGGATGAAAGATTAGAGAAAGATGAAAGTCTGGAGATTTTCTTATGCTTGTCTCTCTGGTGTTTCTGGAAGCCAAGCACATAAATCACCTGAATGATCAACACTGAGATTGCCAAACCAGCGCAGGACACAGCCTGATGTACTTTACGGGGTACCTACAGGGCGCCTGGCCCCGGGCAACCATCCCCAGGCTAGGGCAGCTCTGCTCGGTCCCACACCCTTGCTGCGTCCTCCTCCTGCCTTGCTTTCTGCATGTGAAGTTCAGCAGCCTTCTCCGCCTGATGGGACGACTGCTGAAACAAGAGCCCTGTGCCCTCTCAGCAGCCTCACTGGGCTATCAGTGTGATTCACTCAGAGCGATAAAAAGTGACTCCAAAACTGCTGGCATTTGAAACGGCCCAACATTTGCAGGATGCCTGGC